ATATAATTACAGTGAGGAGTAAGAACATCCCACAACGAAACCGTATATAAATTGAATAGAATCGGACTGAGTACCGCTCCTTGTAAAAGTCCACTATATGATTTCCTAGGTCCATAAATTCTGTTATTTTTATCTCTAATATATAATATATTTTTTTCATTTATAAGTTTGTATATAATATTAATGACATTATTATTTATTCCTAAAATCTTCAAGGTTTCAACTAATATTTCAGGAATTGTATTATCGTATGCTGATTTAATATTCAAGAAAACTGCTGCTGTTTTCTCACTCTTATACTAAAGCCCCTAATTATATCTGTATGTAGTATCATGTTAGCCTCTATAGTGCCCTTGCCTTTTCTATATCCAAACTGATTTTCAGGAAGAATACTATTATGTTCTATCCACCATTCAAGTCTATATTTGATCATATGTTCAAAGGTTTTTTTTAAACAAGACGATAATGCTATTGGCAGTATTGGCCTGTAATTATTATAATTATTAGGATCTTTACCTGGTTTAAGGAATGGTATTAAAACAACATTTCTCCACTCATCCGGAATTTCAGTTCTGTTCATCCAAATGTCATTATGAAAGTTTACAAGCCATGTGAAGGCATTTTTTGGTAGATTCTTTATCATTTTGTATGTGATTTTATCTTTAACTGGAGAGAAATCTTTCACTTTTTCAAGTATGCATTTAACTTCTTTCTCTGAAAATATGTAGGTAGTTGATGTCTTTGTTTAATGTAGTTCTTTCAATATGTATCGGTGGTCTTTGAATATCTAATGGACAAAATTTTTGATTTTGAATTTTAAATCAGCTCAATCAGCTGATGATAGTTCCTTGCAATCCTCGCTGTGGTCATACCTAATATGCTGTGCTAATATAATTGAATGGGAAAAGGGCATAGTGACATTAGTGACGTCAATATGTCTCAATGTGGTCTCAATGAACTGTATGTAATTGAGTTCATTGATATGTCTAGGTCTAGAGTAAGGTGGCTATAATTATAAGCCACCTTAGTCTAGAGATTTCATCATCTCGTCTGCTTTTCAGTGTCGTGTAAAATGCACTACACTATGAATCAGCTGATATTTGGTGCAGCTACACCAACGAATTTCAAACGAATGAAGAAAATCTGATTGAAGAGGAAAAGTGCAAAAGTAAACAGAGTTAATTTTTGAATGTGGTATTTGATTCAACTGATTTGCCAGTACAGGTGTTATATCTGATAAAAATATAATCACATATGTATTCCGAGTCATTTATCGCAATTTTATTAATTATTTAATTCGAGTGTAATTCACACCTGCTCAAGACCAGGTGGAGATAAACTACACTGGTGTGAAATGCACTTTTCAAAAGAATGCTCAATTGAAACTGGCTCGAATAAGGTGTAAACCACACGAAGTGTATGAATGTGCTGCACTTTTCGTACAAAAGAAAGGGTCTATTGACACAAACTTGCAGTGTGGAAGGAAATGACTAAATGACCAACCGCCCGAATATGAATATGTCTAGTGCTACGATCGTCTGGTGCTATAATATTTTTTGCAACCAACTCAGAGGCCGTCTACACTCGTTTACGTCATTTGATATGTCATAGGTACATTTGATAAATGAACTTCCCAATATATGTAGGTAATGAATCATGAACCTGAACAATATACTGAAAAAAATTACAGATAATAGCATTATTTTCCCACCAATACACAATTACGCCTTGAATTCATCTATTCTCAATGAAACTGATCAGTATTCACTTTTACTGAGTGGAAATAATAAATACTTCGAATTCTATTTTTAGGTCAGATATATATCTAATTGTTTTGGATTCTTTTCAATCATTATAAATTGGTGAAATAAAATAGAAATTCGATCAATTGATTTAAGTTCGTGGGAAAATTATATTGGAAATAATGAAATAGACAACAAAAGTTGTTCTTACTGCAATATTCCAGATAAAACTCATGAGGAAACCCCACTGCGATACGCACTGCAATATTACTCGTCCTGACGGACTCGTGGTATTGCTCGGTAACACGATTTCGTGAATAGTGAAGCGACAGAATTATCTCGAATATTTTAAGCACGAGCGAAGCAGAGCGGAGCGCCTCCGCACTCAATGGTTTAGGCATTTCAAATAAATCCAATTCAAAATACACCAATGATTCCCAAATGAATCACGAACAAGTTCATAAAAGATCAATGAACAGTAATGAATAATTCGCAGGGATCAGCTAATGACAACAAATCACTTCTAGAAATGTCAAATAAATCTGTAAACGCGGGTTCGCCCATTTCAAAAGTTACTATAGTATTATTCGTTTTTCAGTTTTGGCAAGACATTGTTACCAAGTATTGCGCAACTATCTAGGCTGGGTGGAAGAACGGGAGAACTTTACTAACTTTAGTCATGGTGGAATTATAATATATGGTGTAAGAGTGCTACGCTACGACGCATCTTCGTATACTACACTGCGACTACGACTACTGCGAGTAAAAGTAAAACCTAAATGATGTTATGCGCGGAAAAGATGAATTCAAGATACGTGAGTAGCACACCATTTCAAATTTCCACCATGGCTGTGCTCAATGATCATCCAGCAGTGTAGCCAGAAGAAAAAAACGAATTATACTGCTATCATTATAGAATTGTACTAAAGTAAAATGCAGATTGGTGAAATGTACCAGACATGGAATTTTAAAAAAATCTACGAGAAAACTGATTGAAAATATTTCTCCTTTCCAGAGATGACTGCATCATATGTTGAAATACATTAAAAAAAAGATGAATCAAAAAAATATCCTAGCAGGTGTACAGTGTGTCCTGTTTTCGATATCTCAGTTATCTTTGGAGATAAACTGTCACGATTTTCACGTTACCGCCTTATTGTTTTGTGAAACGAATAATGCTCCGAACAGAATTTCCACAGTCCTTTATGTTTTTGGGTACACATAGGGCCGGGATTGACGCAGTGGAGAAGAGTTCGATTCCCAGCACGAGCAAGGAACTTTTTTCAATATTTCCTTTACGAATTAATAAATATTGTGAAGTTTGGGAGCATCGGCTGGGGATAGTCCTGCACGCATGGAGTTAGTAACAAAGTAGGTGGGTGTGGAAAACTACCAGCTGAGCGTGAGAGCGGGCCAGCTGCTTAGTGGACCTCGGTCTCTAACGGGGGTTAACGAGGATAGCTAGCAGGCCTGCCACTGCGCATATGGTAGTGAGTACATTACTAGCCCACAAAACACAGCCGAAAAACTCTGAAAGAGAGCTGATGGGCAGTGCCTGAAAAGGATGTTAGCCATCAGTTTTGGGATACAGGACGAAGTTGAAAATTGAGCATTCCCTGATGATCTTGGTTACTTTTCAACTTATCGGCAGGATGAGAACGAAGCCTAATATAACTTTTTACGTATGATACAGTGGCGTATACCCATTTTTTCTATAATAGAGTAGAACTTGATAGAAATATTCTGGGTGTCCCATTTGAAAAAAAAAACAATTAGCGTCATTTTCGATTACATAATCAGTCCACTCGCCTTCCTTCGCTGACAAAATGGCTCGAATGATTCATCCTCTGGATTGCTTTCAGACAGGAATGGCAGGATATTGCTTTCAGGAGTTCCAGGACTTTCAGGTCCTATCACACTAGCTATATTAACTATTGAAATATTGATTGTGAAAAATTATACATGTATGTTATGATGTTATGTCAATTAACTTCCCGACAGGGGGGTGCAAGTGTAAAACGTTTACGTTTAACATTGACCTAAGACTAAAGATCCCTTCCTTCTTCATCTTTAGAATTTCATGAAGGGGTCGTGTTGACCATTTTAATTAATTTTTATCATGTAGGTTTTCGCAATGCTCATTCAACCAGTGCGTGATTTTTGGAATCCAATTCGTGGCCAACTACGACCACTTTCATAATTGTCGTTCATACATCGGAGAGTTCAACAGACATCATTCCATTTCCCAAAAGGTAGAATTCATGGTATATTCAGAACTATTTCGGTGATCTCTCGTTGATGTACGTTACTGAAAAGGGTCATATATGGCCCTTTTCCAATAAACACCCTGAATAAAGTCGGTGGTCGGATCACTCGGGATCCTAAAGTTCAGGAAACATTTCAAAGCTCATTTTCATCTTCTCATTAATCTCATTGGTAACAATCAATGACATGATACATTATGAACTGTGGACGCATATCGCATACGAATTCGCTCTCAGAAAAACTCAGATTCATTAGCTGAACCCTCAAAGCTCATATAGCCCATCCCATATTATTATGCCAATAAAAATAGTGAAAAAATAGAGAAAGTAGAAAGCTTTGTAAGATCTGGGTACTTAATATGATATAAGATTCTTAAGCGGCGTTCACAACCAAACTTTTTACGTTTTGCTTTTTACGTTTCGTATTCTGATTGGTGAAGCAAAATCTGAGATTAAACGTGAATTAAACTTATGCAAATGTCATTCACAACAAAACGTGACTTTTTCCGCTTTTCTCAGTTGCCTTGATTTTGTAATTTGTGTTTCATCCTAAAATGAAGTGAAATAATCATAACAATAATATTGATTAGATAATTAAAAATGTTCGTATGGCTGGCGGTGACGTAAATTGATCCTTATTCAATACTTGAAGTGAAAAATCAATCCTCAAGAAGAAAATAATAAATTGAACAGTATACCTTTCTACTATTCCGTGGATTCACGAAAGAATCATGAGCAAAAACATTATCATAACTTCCATATAGAATGTTCCATACATGTATTGTTCTGTAGTATTTTCTATTTTTATAACAATATAATTTGTCAATTGTTACTATTTTCACAGTCGATGGCTTCTTGCAACGCAAAAAGCTGAATATTTTCAGCTTTTTGCGTCATTTCAATTACATATTTTGCTTCACCAATCAGAATGCGAAACGTAAAAAGCAAAACGTAAAAAGTTTGGTTGTGAACGCCGCTTTAGGCTTTTTCCGCAACGGCCGTACGATAACGTCGATAACGCTGTCGCCAGTCGGTGTAATAGGCACATCCAATAAAACACGTTTATTTTGTCTCCTCTAAATAACCTATAACTATAGTAAAAATCTAAAAATCCAACAAAAATTTATTTCGTTCTTATCTTATCTGCCTGTTTTGGAAAAGTTACTGTAAGCTAAGACACAGGCAGTTAGAAAGATCATTCTCTGCAAAAACTTAACATTGTCAAGACAAGAGACGACCAAGGCGATACTATGGATAAAAGCAATTTGAGGTAAAGATATTGGTGATTTGAATACTTTCCTCGCTTATTATCAATGTGGATTTTATTTTCAGAGAAAACCTCCTTCTAGGGATAGGAAATCCTCTGCTAGATATATCTGCTGTTGTAGATAAAGACTTTTTAGATAAGTATGCTATGAAGGAGAATGATGCTATTTTGGCAGGTGAAAACCACAAGCATTTGTTTGATGAACTCACTGAGAAATATCAAGTTAGCTACTTAGCAGGGGGAAGTGTTCAAAATAGTTTAAGGGTAGCTCAATGGCTACTAGAAAAACCAAAGGTAACCACATTCCTGGGATGTGTGGGTGAAGATAGGTTTTCCAAAATATTGAATGAGAAAGCAACATCTGATGGTGTCAATGTAAGGTATCAATATAATGATACTGAACCCACAGGGACTTGTGCAGTACTTATAACCAACCACCATAGATCTTTATGTGCAAATTTGGGAAGTGCCAATTGTTTCACAATAGATCATATAAGGAAACCACAAAACAAACATTTGATAGATACAGCACAATACTATTATGTCTCTGTAAGTACATACCTCATTATAATGCATGTCATAACCAGACCTAAACAACACTTTGGAAGTGAATTAACAGATGAAGAGAGGTGAGCAATGGGCATCCCATAGGAACATTATTTGAATGGTTCAAAGTATGCTTGCATTATTATTCAGGCCCTTTGAATAGCATAATATAGAAGTCCCCTACTAGATATTACTAAAGATAATACCCAACTGTTTTTTAAAAATGTTCCCATGACTAATGAGTTTTTTCATGTCATTGTATGCTCCAAAGAGATCTTCAACAAACAGCATTCCAGAGGGAAACCATGATTGTATCTTCATTTGTCTATATTTTCTCCATTATAATATCAAGTTTTTTCATAATCTTCTTTTGTTTTTATTTGTTCAGGTATTCATATATTACAGGATGACTAACAAAAAATGCCCTAAACCATAGCAGTGCTATTAATTCAGGCCTGTTCGGTGGTGCTTGCTCAACCTGCTAAACTTGATTTTTTTTATGACTTTCTTTGTTTACATCATGGCTTGAACAGAGACAACTATGGGAAAAAGATCAACTTTAGCCAGTTTAGCAATACAAACGAACAGGCCTATCAGATTCTGAAAAACAGAAAACAAATGATTTTAATCTTTAGATACTAGAAGTAGACTAATGATTATTTTTTCAAATCTATACTGTAATGGCAGCAACTGTCGACTTTGTTTTTTTGAAATGGCACCATGTTTTATTTTGATTTTCTTATGTTTTTTCTTAACACAATGATGTAAAACAAGTTGACTCTTTGACAAAAGTAGTTTGAATGAAAAGTGAATCAAATCAACCTCGAAAGATGTTGAACAGCACTTTATCAAGACTCCTTCATCCTTAGAACGGCTAGGCTCTGGAATTCATTGCCAGTGGAAGTATTCCCAACAACATATAATCTCCAAAAATTCAAAAAAAATTCCAATATCTACCTCCTGTCCCTATCCTCCCTAGGAACGCACGATGTTTTTCGAACATTATAGGGATTCCCTTTCGTGCGCTCCAATGGATAAAAAAAAAAGAATGCTCAGTTGACAAGAACTAGATATTTTTATGAAATTTTGAAATCTACCATTGATTGTGACAATAAATGTCACTGAAATAAATGTCAGTGTTGCCATCTGGCTATCTGGCTTCATGAAATGCCCCATATATCCTTCAAGAATCCCGCAAAACTTGAATTGAGCCAAATTTTGAATAGAGGGTCCTGTGGAGCCAAACTTCCCTAAATACTTTGGTAGCAATTTTATATTTTTTTGATGGGGCTCCTAATGTTCAGAATCAGGAGATTCTTCCATAATGTGTTATTCACATGCAATTTCACCACAAACAGAAAGATTCAGCAGATGATGCCAATGGTCCATAGGCTGAAAAAAAATTGCATCACTGTGAAGCAGGGTTGAAAAAAAACATGTATTTTTTAATTTTATACAAAACACATGTTTTTTTTTATTTTAAACGGTTTTTTTGTTTTGAACATTGTTTTTTTTTGTTCTGAATTTTATGATTTAAACAAATAAAACTTGGAAAAAAACATTGTTCAAATCAAATTTTTTCAAACATAATATTAATTCAGAAATCAATTCAAAATGTTTGATATACTAATCTTTAGTGTTAGTCCACTAAATGATAGATTCCTTATTTGAAGTCAGACTCTGTAAGTCTGTATACTAAACTAAACTGTCATGATCAGCTGTGTTATGAACGTCGCGCCATCACTGTGAGGATGTGCCGGTGAATCCCCGAAATAAGAAAACCAATTGCGATGAGGACTGTTGGCCTGGGGGAACCACAGACCATTTATAAATTCGCATTGCCAGTGGTCTATACAGTGTGTCCCACTTACCATGCTCACCATGGGTATCTTTTCAACGGTGAGAGATACAAGGTGGGTTAAATGACACCAAATGTGGAGTTTTGTTTTGAACAAAAACTGTTTAAAACTTGAGCACATGTTTAAAACAGTTGATTACAACAAAATGTTTAAAACAAAACAACCCTGCTGTGAAGTCATGAAGGCAAACATGAAATTACGAAAATTGAAAAAGATTCCCCAAGTAAATCTCCCGTGCAGTGAATATTATTAACTAGCACTAACTTTCAGTTATAAGGTTTGAATAATGTGCCTGAATCTCTACTAGGTGGCACACTGAATACACCTCTCAGTATTCATTTTTTATTGCTAGATAATGCTGAATTAGTTTCAGAGTTGTATACTTGAACATTCAGCTGAAAAAAAATCCCTCCAAACTAACTTAATGTCAGTTTGTCCCTCCTCCAAAAGTCCCTAAAAGAGGGATATATTCCTCGAAGTGGCAACACTGATGAGGATGCAGATTTGACGATTTCCGATTCATGCAGCGCCATTTTGATATGTTACAGCAAAATGGCCACTTTCGTCAAAAGACGACTGGACATTTTTCTTCGTTAAATTTTAGGGTGCTACAATCAATATAAATGCCAGGGTAATTTTCAATTGGCTAAAAGTTTACCGCGAGAAGCTGACGTCACGATTTCGTAAGTAGGGGCATCTGTTGTGGCATATTCATTATGGTACATTTGTATTAATAATGATATTATTATATTGATTCACACTAGAGGACATTTGAGGGTAAACGTGACAACACGGTGCACGAATTGTGGGCGGTGCCTTGTCATTTCTCAGCATTCAGCACAGTGTTGCCAAGTCTTCAACATCAATATGATATTTTGATATGGAGTATGAGATATATTTGGACATGATGGTTGCTTGACAAATTCAATAATGAACTATAATATCATGGCTTCCTCATATTATGTTTTATCTCATGCTTTATTCAACAATAGGACTCTAATCCTTTTGATAAATTTATTATAATTGGTGACTCGACAACCTTGCTTCATGAGTGGAAATGGAAGATAATTTGACCAATAACAAAAGCATTAATTATCAGTCCACTCGGCCATTGAGCAAAATTGAGCTTTTGGTTTTGACTCTGCATTTCTGATTTATGCAGCGCCGTTTTGATACGTTACGGCAAAATGACAACTTTCAGCAACTTGTCCAATGGCGTTATCCAGTATAATGAGTCATTAATGACCACTTTCGGTAAAGTGGGCATGATAACCATTTCCGGCAAAGTGCCCATCGATCTGTTTCGGCGATTTTATCGAAAATTTGTCCTTATGGCGAAGTGTCCGGATCTTACAATCATCCAGTAGCAATGAAAATCAATGTGTCACTGACATTAGTCGACATTATCAATATGGAAAATAAATCCCTTTTATGTTGAAAGAAGAAATTCAGGAGCGTTGAAAAGCTAACCTGTTAAAGTAAAATCTTCTAGGTAATCTATATCGAGATCTATATTTTCAATTCAAATCGAATGGAATGAATTATTTCGGGAGGATGTAGTCCAATAATTTGCGTGGCCTATAGCCAGGAAAGTCGTTTTTTCTCTCTCGTTATCTACCATTTTCGTTCATTTTATGAACTATTGTGCTTCTTGAGTATTCTCACCCAATAGGTATACATAAACACGAGAAAGACGGCATTCAACATTTTGGAAATAGCAGAAAGAGCTAGCCTGAGAGCCATTACCAAAATCCGGCACCCTCAAAATCCCCTTCACCATCCATCAAACGAACTTCTATATCGGCTGACCAGGGTGGAACCAATTTCTGAGAGACTGAAAAAGCTAACCTTCAAGCTTTACAAAAACGAATCCAATCTCCAAATTATCGAAATTATCCAATCAACAGTGAACCCAAGACGGAAGTTTCCGGAAAACACACTATTGGAATGCTTAATCAATTCAGAAGACTGAAATTCCTTCAAAGTTTTTGCCTCACAATAGACTTTTCTTTTTTTCCCTCTTTTTCACATTAGCGAATTTAATAATTCCATATATCTTGTACATACAGTGTCTTTCAAAAGTATCGGAACGGTCTCATATTTCAGGAACGGCTTGAGAAAAATTCACGAAATTTTTTACAGGGTGATTATTGATGATGTCCGATTCAATGGTGGCATCGGCAATGTTGCCAAGTTCACAGTTCTTCAGATATTAGGAGGAACTTTATTTTTTCAAATGGAATACCATATTTGTTTTCATTGCAATACATTCAGCGACGCCTCATTACTTATGTCTCCTAATATCAGATTTCAAATTGAAATGGTTTTCGAAATATGACATCATGGCATTTTCGTTCAAAAGTCTGGGAACCTTCTAATATTTTCAATACGGTTCAAGGAAAATTCATGAAATTTTATACAAGATGGTTTCTGATGATACCCGATTCAATGGTGATATCGGCAATGTTGCCAAATCGATAGTTTTTCAGATATTGAGGGTGATTGAATTTTTTCAAATGGAAAACCCTATTTATTTTCGTTGCATCAATTCAGCTCCTCCTCATTACTTATGTCTTCAGATATCAAATTTCAAATGAGTATGAACATGCTCCGTTGAAATGTCCGCGAACGCTCCAATATTTTCAAAAGGGCACGCGAGAATATGAAATTCAATTGCGATCAATTCGCAACTCGCTCGTTTAATGCAGTCTTTCCAATCCATGTCACTCAAATAGTTATTAGCGTTTAGTTTTTGTAATCAGTAACAAGCACTTCAATAGCTATTCGTGTATTTAGAGCACAAAGTGATGGATTGCAATGAAAACAAATAGGGTATTCCAATTGCAAAAATTGAGTTACCCTAAATATCTGGAAAACTGTTGATTTGGCAACATTGCCGATATCACCATTGAATCGGGCATCATCAACAACCATCCTGTCGAAGTTTTCATAAATTTTCTCTGAGCCGTTTCTGAAATATGGGACCGTTCCAGAACTTTTTAACGAAAATGCTATGTTGTCATATTTCGAAAATCACGTTAATTACGAATCTGATATTCAGGGACTCAAGTAATTAGGAGTCGCTCAACTAATTGCAATAAAAATAAATGAGGTATTCCGTTTGAAAAAATAAAGTTACTCCTA